GAGAGTCGCATCAATGCGCAAATCAACGGGCTAGAAAGGGGTGCCATTTCTCTTGTTCTAGGCCTTTTCTTTTCTTTTTTCGTATATGACCATCCCTAGCTTAATTCTCAAACAGCTGCTATTTCATCGTGGAATACGCTTAATCTAGCTCTCTGTTCACTCCACTTCGCTTCCTGTGCCCCTGACCACTGAACAGTAGTGCGTACACCTGCCCAGATCAAGTCAATTTTATCGTGATCACTGCCTTCAATAACTGATTGTAATTACTGGGTTATGCCGCATTGATGTCATGTGGCAAGCACTCTTTCAACGAACTGATTAGGCTTTGAATGAAGCGAACCATCAGAGTTTCATCAGTTATTCTCTATCAATAAATTATTACCACTGTCCGGAGGTTTGTTGATAAGCATGGTGTGCATTGCCAAAAGGTTGGAATTCCTCGATCCAATCAGATCCTTGACGACGTCGACTACCTACAAATTCCCTTTTTTACTTCTCCGAACAATCTGCTGAATTACACACATTGACTTGCGTGAAAATCATTACTTCTGGTCAACCTGGGATGCGCCACGCATTCAACTTTCACTCGACACGTATGATTCCGTTTTCGAGATGTAGCGGTAGCGGGGGCATAAGATGTCAGAGAACACCTTCCGTTTCTTGTCATTACTTGCTTCATGGCAAACCTGCATTCACATTCGAGCCGCCATTAATGACGTACCCTCCCCTTCAAAAAGCGAGAAAGTGTCGGGTGCAGACCATGCACCACAAGTGACGACGGCCTTCACAAAATGTTAATGTTTTCTGCCAATGAAATGATTAGCCTGCAGTTGTATTCTATCGATTGTCACTAATTACAACTATCATTTACCAGAAATCAGCTATCACTATGAACAACTTCTAACCAGATTTACTTGGAGGCCGTCGTCAGTTGTGGTGTTTGGTCTGCACCCGACACTTTCTCGCTTTTTGAAGGGAGGTTACACTTAAAGTTGTCGCATTGTGATGTCACTCCGTAACACTAAACTGAGGAGTACATAGCAATGCAGTTTCTGTCGCATCTGAACCGCTTATTGGGTCAAATCCCACTCAAGCTTAGGCTTCAAGCTCGGAACGAATGGAGTGGCAGTAGAATACTTCAAAGAAGCAGTGAACTGCGTGCTTTGACTTCTGCAGAAAGATTTTCATGCGTAAAGGAACGAATTCACGATAAGAACGAAGGTCGAAGAAGGGAAAGACAGGCGGACCTCCTGAGGGTGCTGACCGACGCGCAATTGGCAGCGAAAGATTTGACCTCGGCGATCTAGCATGGCTCACTCTTGGCGCGGTTGGCGGGGTACGCCCACCGACTATCTAATCACTCGCCGCAGGTCTATACGTGGCGAGTGATTAGATAGCAGAGAGAGCGTAGTGTTGAAGAGGGCACAGCGATGAGAGTCGCATCAATGCGCAAATCAACGGGCAAGGAAGGGGTCCCATTTCTCGGGTTCTGGGCCGTTTCTCATGGTTTTTCTTCTTTCGTGTACCACTCACCATCCCTAGGTTAATTTGAAATGGGTTGCTTTTTCATCGTGAATTCGTCCTTTAAAGTGCATGTACCAAGGTCAAGCGCTTTGTCTTCATACCTACGATTCTTTTCATAACTGATATTTACAACGCCGACTAACAAGATCATCACATACCATAAAAGTGTGACGCCATCTTCAAAAGTTTCAGACAGATAAGGAACTACAGAGCAAATGTGAGTATTGACTCTACCCCTCTGTACTGGCAGTAGTCGAACAGCACTGGATCATCTTGAAAGTCTTGCACCTTGGTGATCGCCTTTTCTCCAGAAACGAACTCTGACTTAGCGATCGCGATGTCTCGCATCACCGTCATGTTTATCGGCACGTCCTTGCCCTGACAGATCTCCTGCAAGAATAAAGGTGAATATACATATCAGCTCTACTCTGAATAGTGTCACTTCCTCTTCCAGCAGAAATTTTCGCTTAAATTTTGAAGTTTTGCAGCATAACGTCGAATTAGTATTGCAAATGGATTTTACTGCCTGATGGAATGTTCTCTTACTTCTAATTTCACAAGAAGCTTCATGTTCAAAGCTGCAAAGAGTGGTTTTCCGTCGAACAAGAAATAAGTAAGAAGTGGCACATAATCTCAACTCATTTTGAAAATTACAAGGAAACAATGCTGTCGATCCGAAGAAGGTGATTTTGCCGCAACGTGAGCCGGATAAAAGCTGATATCTTTTCTTCGGGACCCAAGCAGGAGTGAGCAAACAAATGTCTAATAATGCCGATATTGGAGAGTCGATGGTGGAGTTGTCTGTTTGAAAGTAGCTGATTACGATAATGTGGGAGCGCATCTGGGAAGCATAGGGACCACACGAGTAGGCACTATTTACCCTTTCACTGTTCCACTCCTCCAGAACTGAGTCGAATCTTTATCGCAATTTGTCCACGACCAATTGTTTGGCTAGAAAGGTCTCCAGAGGTAGTTTTACCGTAGGACGATAGGACAATTTTAAATTGCTGAAGCTTTGTCTTCAAAGGCTGTTATACCATTAGAAAGCATGAATGGTCACATTATGTTTTTCACGAGTGGCCTGCGCTGCGTGTGACGGTGCGAACTGATGTGAACAGCGTCGGCGTCTGGGGGCCTAAACTGACAAAATATTCGGCTTCTGCCGAGGGTCCCCCCCCCCACCCGGGAAAACAGCAATTCTTAGGATTAATGCGTAAAACATTCCACTAATTTGAATAAATCGGCTTGGATTCGGTGATTGGGGCAGTAAAGGGTAAAAAGTGCCCCTGTTGAGGCTGCCCAGGTGAGCAAGGTGTGGCGCTTTCACGACGGAAGGTGCGCTGGTTGCTGAGCAGGACTTCGAAAGCACTCCGCCCCAAAAGCGATCCGCCCACTAGTTTAGTTGGTGATTTGGACGAGCTGCGTTGCCAGCAGCGACACAGCTGGAGTAACTTACTGAGTCGCAGTCCACACGAAGTACCGATTGACATATTGAAAAAGGGCGACTGGAATTTTTGCCTTAGGCTCCACCCTCTCCGTTACACACTCACCAACTTCAAAGATTAAATCCTCCTCCTCCGCTACTTCTTTTCTAGGTGCAGTTTTCGAGCTATAGGGGAACTCTGAAATTCAGCTCCGCCCAACTCATTGCTTCACCTATATCATTCAATCTCCTCTTCCTGGCTATGTAGCTAACACCCAGGTTTTTTCGGTAACCGTTCTGTGTTGAATAGGGGTAATAGGGTTTTGTTTGGCAAACCTCGCTCACTTGTCGTGCTAGTCGAGGTGTTCCTACGTATACGACCACTTCAGCTGAATGTTCATGTTTGATCACAAGAGAAAGCCGAGAATTCAAAAAAAATCAAGGAGATCTATCATCATCTCATCTATCACGATGAATTGGTGTACCGACGCTACCACTTTTAAGGTCTTACTTCTTTGATTTGCACGCTGCCCTTCATTATGCTTGGTGGGTCAGGAAAATCAGATTGTTAGGGTCAGTGTATAAGGTAACAAACGAACATCTGGGACGGTAGTAAAGTGGCCTCAACTGCTAGTTACCATGTGACCATGAGCTCGTGGTAACTTGGTCATGGCTTCCATCCATGTCTCCCTAAAAGATGCGTAGAGCACCTCTGGAACCCCTCCGAAGATTCCCCGTCGGAATGGTCGAAGTGAGTTCGAACTTACTTGGAAGTTGGGGTGATGACATCACGTGCTAGTAAGAGGATTAGCAGGGTGGTCATTTATAAACTAACAGCGATGGCGGCAGAGGAAAAGGAAATAGTGCGCGCGCGGTGGAGGGCGCAAACATGCTGCCACTTCATCTCTAAAAAGTCCTCCGGAGGACTTTTTAGAGATGGCCATCTCCAAACAGCCAGGCTGTGTGGGTCAACGCAGTAAGTTGAAAAGGGAAAGGGAAGCAACTTGCATTGATCCGTCAATGGTGTAGCGCCTGCGGTCCACGTTTGTGTTGAGCCGGCCACGGGATCGATACTACTAGATGTCAAAATCTTTGCAACTTTTGTGGGTTATTGCCTTTCCTCTAGAATTCTTTCACCGTCAATAAGAAGGGCTCCATAGTGCAGTGGTAGCGATGCCGCTCATGGGACGATGCACCGAAGGTTCAAACCCGTGTGTGACGCGACTTTTGCAAGCAACGTGGTGGATGCTCACCACTTCGCCTATGGCAAACCGCCATTGGATCAATGGGGACGTTCCACGCTGCCGCTGGCAAGCTTGCTGGATCAGCACCGCTTGGAGACTAAGACTTGCAAGCAACATCCATTGCATACCTTTCATCAACATCTCTTCCAGTGTTGTGGTCGAGTGATCCCTGGTGCAGTGGCAAAAAACCAGCCTATGAGCCCTACCATCCAGGGCTCAATTCCGAGAGAGTTGCAAGTTTTGCAGGTCGGGTGGCGAGGCTCGCGGTTTCAACGAGGGTCATGTCCATGTTTCCACGTTCTCTACTCCTCGCCAATGGATGTAAATCACCACATTTGACTGCCAGTCTAGGGCACTTTACTACCGTCCCAGGGTTTCGTGGTTCGACTTGCATGCCCTTGTGCTCTTGTCGAGTGGCGTTATCCCTAGCGCCATCCACCACCACTTCATTGATCTTATCTCATGAATTCGGAAAAGTTCAGAACAAGTGTGTGCTGTGCTTGCTCATACCTTGTCGGTTATTTGCTCAGGTAGCACCTTAAGGTTGGAAGTGTATCAACCGCTAGCATCCTAGGATTTCCTTATTAGCCTGTTTCCTCCCGCTTTCTTCACCTTATTGTGAGCGCCTCTGAGTACAAAATCGCCTAATTGAAGCAACCGTCGGTCTGTCAGTTTTGATTTATAATTTTGTTTACTTTGTGTTTTCGTTTCTGCTTCTTTTTATATTGCTGCCTGGTATTAGCCTTTTAGTTTCTAGAAATATTGCAATGGATTTTTTTTCTGCTCAACAATGATATTTCCTTTTTCCCTCATCTGGGCACACTCTTGTGAGTGTATTTTAAATAAATAAATAAATAAATAAATAAATAAAGCAACTTCATGCGTTCTACGACCTTGCGTGGGTGTTCATTTACGGCTCCAGGCACTCCAAAAAGAATAACGTCGACGCGCAGAATTCCGCAAAGGGCGGAGCACGTGCACGTTCTCCAAAGATTATCTTGGGCGCTAAGGGGCTGTACGAAGACTTGAAGTTCAGCGGCTAACTATCACTCTATTGAACTTTCTCTTGCTTTCCGTTTCATAGAAAAAAGTGATCTGAGGGGTTGGGCTGCAGCCCAATTCTCGAGTTATCCACTGTTCGGAAAATAAGATACCTTGAATCTTCTTTTATAACGTTCCAGCTCGTAGTTGGGCACACAATTCTTATGAGGAGGTAACCGTTCTTCTCATAGAACAGCTTCTGTTCCTTAGACAAGACCGTACCATCGGTGTCCCATTGCAGAACTCCTTGTCCAAGAGTAGCCATTGAAGGTGCCTAAGTTGAGTATAGATCACTAAAAAATAGCAGAGCGAGGTTCAAAAATAGTAGGCGATGGTAGAATGGGTTAGTTGAGGTTTTTGATGGTCAAATCATAGGATAAATCACAAAAATGAGAAATGAGATTGAAGAAAAACAATTGAAGCCGTAAATAATAAACCTTTTTTATTTTGAATCCATTTAATGGTAATCAATATCACATAAATAAGGTTTGGAAAGTCAAGCTTACCGAGAATATCCACCGTTTTTTTTCGATAGTAACTTTTGATCTTTTATAAGTCAGTTTTTACGATTTTGGTGTTCGCACCCGCGATATGCCACAGTGATGAAAGAAACTTTGCGCTATTTCTGTCTAGTATTTAGGGTAGAACAGCGATCAAAAATTGTTACTTTGTAGCATGAATGTACCACAACCACGGGCTGTATACCAACGCATGGTCAGCCATCTTCACGGTCCCATGAGCTCATTGAAACAGATATATTAGGTAGTCGAGTTAAGCCCAGTGTATTTTCGATGGAAATTTTTTATACGTACCATATGGCGCAAAACTTGAAACATAATTCGAAAAGAATTTTCATTTACATCTTTTGTATCCTTTGTCTAGTTATTTTTGAAGTGATGATTAACCAGCATTGCAAAATGGGTTATACGAAGTAGGCCAAAAATAGCCAAACCGGCAACTGACCAGAACTCTATGTTCCTCAGAACGAAGAGGAAATCAGTTAACGCGCTCTTTACTCACAAGGAATGGTCAATTGGTCGGTCCGGCCATTTGTAATGAGGTGTAGTCCGATGCACGCGTCTTGCGACGCTGAGCTCAAATCCGTTTTCGGTTTTTGCCGAACGATTCTCTGAACGAAGTTACGAGGGATTCTTCTCACTGTGGCTATCTCACTGTGGCGCCCTCTACATCCCTATCCCACTTGGCTCGCGTAAAAACAGGACGAAGGAACAGAACGCATAACGAATAACCAATGGAAGAGTTTGCTCCC